ACCAAGCTGTGCTGCAGGAGACTGTCTGATGACCCTGAGAATCCAGACTCCTGTATCTCCATCGATGTTGCCATGAGCAAGCCAGAGAGCCCAGAGGCTCCTCCAACAGGGTTGGCTGGGAGGTTGTCCCGCTGTGACATGTGTGATGACTGGAAACGCATTGTCCTCCTCTCTGCACTCATCATCATCCTCTTCTGCATCATCCTGTGGCCAGTCCAGTGTGCCCTGAAGACAGGGAACCTGCGCTGCTTCACCAGGACTGTGGCCATGAGCAGACCAGAGTATCTGGCCCCCAAACCCACCACAGTGGTAGCATCTGTGACACAACCTCCTTTCCACTAGCAGCTCCTGGCTCTGGTCAGCTCCATCCCCATGGTACATCCAAGGAGGAGGAACAGGACCTACTGCCCTGACAGCATTCCTTGGCTTGCTGGCAGCTCCTGTGTCCTACTCCCCACCTGAGCACATGCACCCACCTCCAGGAGCTCAGCTCAAACACTGGGAATGCTCCAAGGAGCTGCCTCAGCATCCTGCTGCCAAACTCTCCATGGAAACCAGAGGTGTGAAAGCCACAGAGAAGCTTCTAGGCCTGTTTGCCTCAGGTGGAACATGGCTGTGTGCTGCCTTGGCTGGATACCAGATGGCAGTGGGTGCAGTTCCTTGAGGCATAAAGGGCTATTTTTACAAGCTGAAGGATCTACGTGATGATTCCTGTGAGCAGCTGGGATTGGGAGGGTAAAGCCATGTCAAAGCTGTATAAACAGATGAAAAATATCCTTACCCCACATGCTGGTGATGTTTCCACTGCATTATCCAACGTTGGAGATGTAGCTGCTGCCTCCTGCTGACTAAACATGGATCCATCCCTGCTGCCTTCCTTGGCACCACCCTGATGAGCTTTCAGCAGCACAGAGTAGCCATTCTACTCTTTTTTTTTTTTCTAAGAAGATGCTGAAAACTCACTCATCCCCACGTGGAAGGTGATTCTGCACACAAGGCTGAGCCCTGTGAGACACTCAGCACAGCCCTGATCCTCCAGTCACTACAGCAAACTTCATTCAAACCTCTCACTGCTGCCAAAAAAGCTCCTTCTTTTAACAGCTTTCCCCTCCTCATCTCCCCGTGTGGCAGTATTAAGACTCAGGCCAGTGGGTGACACTATTTAAATCAGTGCTGTGACAGGGATTAGCAGAGTCTTCATGCTGAAGATGCCTCACACTTCAATGTCTTCTATTCAGACATGGATGTAAGACAGTATTGTATGCAAATACCATATGTGTATGGATTAAATTATGTTTTCTACAACGCCAAGGTGTCAAGTTGTAGCAATTCCTTCCCTTTTCCCTTCTTCTTTGCAGCTGGAGGTGTTCCCATAGCAGCCCTGAGTGCAGCTGCATTCTCAGATCCTGGTGGTGTGGTTGTGCCCTGCATCAATTCTCCTAGTGTTGGACAATTCTGCACACATGGACAACTTTATCCTGGAAATTTACACTTATTCCCACCTGGCTGGTGTTTTTCCAGGTGAGATTTCCCTCTAGGTTTACCTGATTTGACCTGACAATGAGAGGCTGCAAAACCTGCTCATCTTTTGCTTCTTCCCAGCTGATGACAGATGCTTCCAAGTCTCCCTTTCCACAAGAAATAATCTCATTTGAAGTAGAAAAGGCTGAAGCAACAGCAGAAATAGCTCAGGTCTGTTGCTATGTGAAACTTCTGTGGGAAGCTGCTGGGTGTGCTGTACCTGCAGCACTTTTGGGCTTCACCTGTGCCAGCCACGTCTGCAAAACTACTTCAGGCACTGCATCACCTCCTGCCAAACTCACTGGGCTTGACAGGGATCCTCATTTGTAGCATCCCATCCATTCCCCATGCTTGGCACAGAAAGGATATCTCCACAGCACCAAATTAAGTGTGTTCTTGGAAAGAGCAGCTCACCAAGGCTTAAGGCAGGGAAGACACTTCCATTTTCCCCTCTATATTTGGGACTAAGCCCAGCAAACACACACTGATAGGGATAAAGGGCTTTGTCATTACATCTTCATTATCACTCAGCTCTCACTGATGAGACCCAAGGGCAGAGGAGAGGGAAATAACAGCTTCAGCCTCATCAAATCTGTTGTTCCAGTGGAAAACAGGCCACGATGTTCTCACAGCTCCAACTGTTCCCAGAGGTCTGTCACAGCAGCCTCCTGAGGGCTGGCCCAGAGCACATCCCCATGGCATTGGAAAGAAAGGCTGAAGGTTTAGCTAACACACAGCTCAACCTCTCACTCCTGTAGAGGCAAAAGGAATGGTCAAAGGAAGGGAAAAAAGGGCCCTGAGCAGCAGCATTTAGCCATGGGGATATCCAGGATGTCCTACTGTCCACACAGTCAGTCACTGCCCCCCACCAATAAACTACTTAAGAAGAGAGGAAAAAGAAAAGCCTTGAGAATATTCAACATTTATTAAAAGTGCAATAAAAAGAAACAGTTCTCCTGTCCCTGTGACAAGGGACCACAAAGCCCAGCCAGGAATTACAGCCAAGGTATGTCACTGTGCACTTGTTCAATCCTTTGGCTCAGCACTAACACCCCAACCATGCAGAGTCCTTCCTGTTCCAGGGATGTAGGAGGACTTAGACATCAGCCTTGAGTCTGCTCTGGGGGATTAGGAACTGTCCTCAGACCCAAAACTGCTCTGGGGGTTCAGGTACTTTGCCCTGAGACCCAAAAATGCTCTGGGGGTTTAGGAACTGTCCCTCAGACCCAAATCAGGCACTTTTCCCTGACCCAAAATTGCTCTGGGGGTTCAGACACTTTGCCCTGACCCAAAACCTCTTTGGGGGTTCAGACACTTTGCCCTGAGACCCAAAACTGCTCTGGGGGGTTAGGAACTGTCCTCAGACCCAAAACTGCTCTGGGGGTTTAGTTAGGAACTGTAGACCCAAAAAATGCTCTGAAGGTTCAGGCACTTTCCCCTGAGACCCAAAACTGCTCTGAGGGCTCAGGCACTTTGCCCTGACCCCAAACTGTTCTGGGGGTTCAGGCACTTTTCCCTGAGACCCAAAATTGCTCTGAGGGTTTAGGAACTGACCCTTAGACCCAAAACTGCTCTGGGGGTTCAGGCACTGTCCCTCAGACCCATATCAGGCACTTTTCCCTGACCCAAAACTGCTCTGGGGGTTCAGGCACTTTTCCCTGAGACCCAAACCCTCTCTGGGAGGTTCAGGCACTGCCCATCAGTCCCAAAGACCCCCCAGAGCACACCCCCAGGCTGATGAATCCTGCAGGAAGAGGTTCTTTGGCAGGACTTAGGGCTGGAACAGCACGAAGCACTAAGACTTAACAGAGCTGGAATATTCCACTTGGTGACACACTCATCTTCATGGCACTGGTCAAGTCACAAACACTCCTCCAACACCCTCACTCAGCAGATCCAACACTTGCCTTGCCATACAGATCCAGGGAAGGAAAAAAAAGTCATGCAGCAAGGGAATGGCAGAGCTACATCAAGCTTAGAGGGGCTCCAAGAGTTCAGCTCAGACTGTTCTCCCAAGTTCTTCTCAGTGCACAGAGCTGTGTCCTTCACTCCTCAGCACCCAGGGGGGATTGCACTTAGCATTCTGCCCCACAGAGCTGGAGATAATCACCTCAGCCTCTCAATTCTGCTGCAAAACCTCCGTGAGGAGCAGCCAGAAGACTCTCAGGCACACACACACACAGAGCAGGGATTGCTCCAGGTGTTTTGGCAGCATTGCATAGGAATCTAGAGCTGCTACAGCCAAAAGGAGCTGGGAGAAGGATCAATAGAGTGCAAATACCCAAGTCCAGGCACTGCTCTCTATTTCTCACCCTCCAGGATTTAAGGTTAAAACCACTTGTAGCTTAGAAATGACTGACTTAATCAAAACAGTGTCTGAAGGGTTTACTACAGCCCTGAGTGGGCAACAAGCCTGGCAAAGCTCCAAAGCAAAGGTTTCTGTTCCTTTGAACAATTTGTGTAAAAAATAAAGGAATTTAAATTAAAATGATACAAAAAAACCACAACCCTGAAGCTGAGCCTTGATGCTCTAATCAATGTCCAGAGGCACTTTTCACATAAATAGCAACCTACTGATACAGGGGAGAGCAGGAGGAGATCCCTCTCCTGAATAACTTAGGATAAGGCATGTTGTCTGTTTCTCAGGCAGCTTCTTCCCTCCTCACTGAATCCAAGGTGCTTGGGGAAGGCAAAAAATTGTCCTCAACTGCAGAACTTGGAAAGGGTGGACGTAAACACTGGCAATCCTGCAGTGCAAAACAAGAAGGAAGAAGGAGTGATTTATAAAGTGGGAGAAAATGCACTGCTAAGGTGACAAAGCTGAGACATTCCCAAGGAGTGAAGTGTCTCATTATTGTATGCACACACAGCTCAGTCTTTTTCCCAACCTAACAGCCCAAAAAGCAGATTTTTCCCCCTTCACTGGTACCATTATAAATGTGTTTCCCTGTTGAGGTCTCACACCCTAGAATCACAGAATCAACAAGGTTAGAGGAGACCTCTCAGACCATCAATTCCAACCATTAACCTGCCACTATTCCCCTCCTTTCTCCCTCAGCCACATCTTTAGGCTCCAAAAAACTTCATCCTACATTTGCAGGCAAAGCCTCTGAGCTCTGCCCAGACTGAGCCTCAGAGGAGCTGCTCTAAACACTGTGGTAAGACAAGGAAGGGAAACATTCCTACCTGTACAGCCTGCACACAGCTCCTCTCCAGCTCCTCTATCTCCCTGTATTACTCAGCCCTGAAACCTTTGGGCTTTTGATGTTGAGGTTCTCGTAGACGGAAGTTGATTCATCCTCCACCCTGTCAAGAAACAAAGCTTGTTATTAACAGCCTCACTGCTCTGGATCTTTTCCCACAGGCAGGAGGCCAGTGGGAAGCTGGGAATGGCCTAACCAAGCTCCCTTTTGCCCTCCCCAGGCTTGGAGACAGGATGACATCAGGTTCTCACTGTTCTCTCTCCCTCTGGCTGGGCCACTCCTCCTTGGCTCAAGTGCTTGAGCATGGAGCCTATGTCCCTACACACCTTCAACTCCATCCCCATGTCCAGCACTCACAGGTATTCCATTATTTGGGACAAGATAAAAAAACATCATTTGGGGTAATTTCTCTCTGCTTCTGTATGGAATCATGCTCCTTAGCCCATGCTCCTCCTCCACATGGATGCAATTCCACCTCTCTCTGCTCTTGCCTCATCTTCCTTGAGATTTTGCTGGAAAAGTGGCAGTAGCACAGATTCCCTCTCTAGCTGCTTCTCCAGAGCCAAGGATATAGGACACTACTCCCTAAAAACCAGGATCTACTTCCTCCTTTCCTGTTCAAAGTTGTAGCACACAAGCAAAGTGGGTACTACCCTCAACAGCGGGGTGGGATCACCATTCCCATATCAGCCATTCCCACATGATAGCCAGCAACTGGTGAGGATTCTACTATGGGAAAGGCATGGAAGAGGGATAAATCCTAGGAGAAACACAGCTTACACAGACTGGGCCTGGGGGGAAGGAGGTTGCCCTTTGCCTCTGCCTTTTTCCATGGGAGAGTAGCCAATATTCAAGTAGTCTCGTTCTTTCCTTTTATTCCTCTGGAAGAGAAAGCAAAGACAAGAAAATCCCACTGAAAGTAGGCACAGGATAAAGCTTTCCAAGATGCCAAATGCCAGAGAGGCAGACACAGAATGGGTCAGGTTGGAAGGAATCATAGTAGGTCATCTGGTCCCACCTCCCTGCTCAAGCAGAGCCATCCTAGAGCACAGGATTGTGTCCAGATGGTTCTGGAATATTTCCAGTGAGGAAGAATCCATGACCTATCTGGGCAATCTGTTCCAGAGCTTAAGTCACTGCACAGTAAAAAAGTTCTTCTTTGTATTTTCATGTGTTCAGGGCAGTATCACCATCCCTGGAGGTGTTCAAGGAACAACTGGACATGGCACTTAGTGCTCTGGTCTAGTTGGCAAAATGGTGACGGGTCATAGGTTGGACTTGATGATCTCAGAGGTCTTTTCCAACTCTGATTCTGATTCTGCCCAGGGAGATGGAAGAGTCACCATCCCTGGAGGTGTTCAAGACACACCTGGGCATGGCACTTAGTGCTCTGGCCTAGTTGACAAAGTAGTGATGGGTCACAGGTCGGACTTGATAATCTCAGAGGTCTTTTCCAACCTCTGATTCTGCCCAGGGAGGCTTAGTGCTCTAGTTGGCAAAATGGTGACGGGTCATAGGTTGGACTTGATGATCTCAGAGGTCTTTTCCAACTCTGATTCTGATTCTGCCCAGGGAGATGGAAGAGTCACCATCCCTGGAGGTGTTCAAGACACACCTGGGCATGGCACTTAGTGCTCTGGCCTAGTTGACAAAGTAGTGATGGGTCACAGGTCGGACTTGATAATCTCAGAGGTCTTTTCATGGTGACGGGTCATAGGTTGGACTTGATGATCTCAGAGGTCTTTTCCAACTCTGATTCTGATTCTGCCCAGGGAGATGGAAGAGTCACCATCCCTGGAGGTGTTCAAGACACACCTGGGCATGGCACTTAGTGCTCTGGCCTAGTTGACAAAGTAGTGATGGGTCACAGGTCGGACTTGATAATCTCAGAGGTCTTTTCCAACCTCTGATTCTGCCCAGGGAGGTGGTCAAGGAACAGCAGGAGGTGCCACTTAGTGCTCTGGTCTAGTTGCCAAGATGGTGATTGGTCACAGGTTGGACACAATGATCCTGGAGGTCTTTTCCAACCTCAATGATTGTGTGATTGTATATTTGAGCTTCAGGGAGAAGGTGGGAATGGATGTGCTGTTCTTTCCCAACCAAACCAAGGGAGACTCACCTGTTCTTCTTCCAACCTCTTCTGCTCAGCCTCAATGTACTGCTGCACTGCCATGTAAACAAACTTGTACTGAGCCTCTGTCTGCACCATCCCCGAGCGCTGCCGTCGCACCATCTGGATCGTTTTGGGGATGTCAATGTCACAGTCCAGACCTGCTCCAGAGGGACAAGGTCAGGCTCAGGCAGTGGGAATGAAGGGGAAAAAACTCATTTTCTTAAGGTGACTTTGAAAGCTTTCAGGATGTGGCTGCATACAGTGCAGTGAAGCCTTGGAATACTTGTAGATATTGGGAAAGGATTTAGTGCATCTCTGTGCTGAGGGGAATTATGTTTTATCCCTTATTTATGGAGCCAGAGGATTAAAGTGAACTGAGAATGGTTGAGGCAGGGCTTGGAGCAAGGGGAGGGCAGGGGAATTAGGTCTGTTCTGCAGCCACTTCCTCCAAACCCAAACTTTCCATCCTTGAAAGGTTTATGAAGTAAATACAACCATTGCTGAGGAGGGTTCAGCTGTCTCAGGGCTCCTGGGCCAGGCCCAGAGATCACAGAATCATGTTAAGGGGGTGGAATGGAGCTTAGAGATGATCTAGCCCCAACCCCCAGCCCTGGGCAGGGACACCTCCCACCAGAGCAGGTTGCTCAAGGCTTGATCCAACCTGGAATGAACATTGCCAGGGTTGGGGCAGCCACAGCCTCCCTGGGCAACCTGTGTGTGAGCTGAAGGTATCTCCCTTCCCAGAGGGCTGTCCATGTGCACAGGGACACACATACCTTGCCTGTGGATGATATCCACCAGGATATCTATGACTATGATGGTGCCTGTGCGTCCTATCCCAGCACTGGGGAGAGAAGAGAAAGAATCAGTGCAGGAAAAAACATCCCTCATAGTTAGTCAGTTCAGCTCCCACATTCAGCCACATGCCTGGTCACCATCCTGGGCTGATGGATGATGTAAGATCAGCCAAGCTAAATGCTGATCCTTAGGAGATCAGTCTTTGAGGCTACACCAGCTCCAAATCAGGATATTCTTCCCTGTGCTACCCTCAGTGAGGCTCTGGAGGAGGACTGTGCTTTCCCATGTGTATATTTATACCCCAATCACCCTCCATCAATGTGCTGAGCCAATTTGCAGGTGTCACTAGGAAGAGGCACATTCCCCTTGGTTCATTCCCCCATGGGTCATACCTGCAGTGCACTATGATGGGCCCCGTGCCTGGAATGCTTCGCTGTGCCCGATTCACTTGGTCCAGAAAGCTCAGAACTCCTCCTGGCTCGTTGGGCACCCCATGGTCTGGCCAGCTGAAGTACTGATAGTGCCTCACCAGCCTTGGATGTTCATCCTGCAGGGAGAACATCCACCACTTGGTCAGGAACTTCCTATTAGAAGACTTCACCTTCTAGTAGGAGGTTCTTCTTATCATCAAACTAGGGCAAAGCAGCCCAGAGCTTTAGCAGTGGGGACATTAAGTGAGAAACCAAACAGTGAGAAGCCAAAGCTCCCTTTCCATGGCTTCCAGCCCCATCCCATTCCAGTGGGACTCACCCTGTCTGGCCTCAGGATCTCCAGCTCCCTCAGGTAGTAGCCCTGGGCCTCGCGCTCGCTCACGTGGTGCACACAGATCCCTCCATACTCCTTGGTGCAGCCTTTGTCAGGCCAGTAACGGAAGCATTTGTTCTGCAGAGACACAGAGAAGCTCCTCAGCCAACATTTGAGGGGCTGGAGGATGGATCTGAGCCCTGCCTGGCTCAGGGAGGATGCTGAAGCCAAATGTTTGCTGCTCTGGGGTGGAGGTTTGAAGGAGAGCCATGCACAGTGGTTTCTTGATGGGGATGTAATGGAAAGGGTCATTCCTACACAGATATATGATCCATGGGGAAATCTTCCAGGTGGACCTTATAGCAATCTTCCACTATGGAAAGGGGGGGGCTACAAAAAGGATGGAGAAAGACTTTTCACAAGTGATGGGACAAGGGGAATGGCTTCACACTGACAGAGAGGAGGTTTAGATGGGATATTGGGAAGGAATTCCTCCCTAGGAGGGTGCTGAGGCACTGGCACAGGTTGCCCAGAGAAGCTGTGGCTGCTCCATCCCTGGGAATGTTCCAGGCCAAGTTGGACAGGGCTTGGAGTGACCTGGGCTAGTGGAAGGTGTCCCTGCCCATGCAATGAGATGATCTTTAAGGTCTCTTACCAAACCATTCCATGACTCTACAATCTCCCTCCTCAATCAGCCCCAGCCTCAGGCAGGCACTGCTTTGCCAAAGTCATAGTCTTGCCACACAGACCTGAGCTGTTGGTCTGGTCACTGACCAATTCCTGAGCCAAACCCTCATCCCAAGGGGCTGCAGAGCCTGCCCACTCCCCTCCTGTCCCCCAGTCCACCCTCTCTGTGCTTCCTGACTCTGCCAACACAAAATGAGGCTGTGAGCAGAGCTATCTTTATCTCAGCCCTGCAGCCTCCCCCTCATTCCTCAGCAAAACTGCCTGTGCCAATCCTAATTAACTCCTAGTCAGCTCCTAAAGCTGTTCTGGCAATGGCTCTGCATGGAATTTCACTGGATTCCCTGGCCCCTACCATCTCCTCTTAGTGAAACACAGGTGGCACAGAAATAGGTATATCATGACTTCTGTCCCTCACTCCTCCACTCTCCAGTGATGCTTTCCATTTCTCTCTCTCTCTCTGCCACCTGCAGCTCCCCAGAGCCTTGAAGCAAGTCCTGTGAGGGACACCCCATTAATACTTCTAGGGCTGGGGATGTGCAGAGCAAGGCAGGATGGTTTTTCTTCCTGAAGAAAAGCTCCAGCAATGTCAGAACAGAGAGGAGAAATGACATTCAATGAGAGCTAGACAGAGACAATTTCACTAAACACCACCAGGACTAACAGCAGGAAGCTTTTAGGCTTGAGGACAGTGCTACAAGATCCCCTAAGTGCTCACCCTGCCCCTTTCCACCTCCTTGGTGGTCATGACAATGACATGAGTGTTCTCTTGGTACACCATGGTCCAGAAGTCATTCACAGTGGTCTGCAGGCAGCCCTGGGTGGCTATGTAGACCTTGCAGTTCTCTGAGTTCCTTCCATCTTCAGGGATGCTCTGAGGAGCAAAGCAGAGAGGAGGAAAAAAAAAAAAAGCCAAGGATGGTGGAGTGAGGAACTGGGAATTGCTTTAATACCCCTTTAGCAGTGAAGTCAGCACAGTTTGCCAGGAAGGATTCCTAAACTAGCTGATTTCCCTTGATTCTTCAGCCTCTCTCAACGTCAGCTTCAGCAGAGCTGTTAGCAAAATGGGCTGGCAGCTAATCTGGAGCCTCCAGGGACTGTCATATTGCTGAAACACACACTCCTGTGCACCAGCCCCTTCCCAGCAGGCAGCTGCTAAAGCTGCAGGTAGATGTGGCTGGAATGAAGCCACCTTGCTGGTTTTCCAAGGGCTGAGGTGAGTGCAGAGTGGCACTGCTGGAAATACAACTTCAAGCAGCTCTTGGCTGACAGAATTTGACCTCAGAGATAATGTTCAGTGACAGATAGTCTGGGTCAGCCCCTTGAAAGCTCCTGAGCAGGGAAGAAAAGGAGGGGATAAACTCTTAGATAAAGACATGGGAGAATGATGGGGATAGAGGAGCAAACCCTAGTTTGGATCCTAGGCTTGGATCCAGTGAAATACACTGGTTATTCCCTCTGAACTGACATCAGCACTGCATTTGCCCACCAGAACCAGTGCTGGGCTGAAGGCAGCCCCACATGGAGTCTTCCCTTGCCCAAGTACCTTGATATAGTTGGCATTGATGTAGTCTGAGCCAGGCACAGTCTCATCCACATCCCGGAGTGCCACTCGGGTGGTGTCAACTGCAGAAGAGTCCAGAAGGAACAGGAGTCACACACACAGGAGTCACAGTGACCCCCAGGCTCTAACTATGAAGGCACATGGGAAATGAGTGCAAAACAGGGTGTAAAACACTCTCCTAAAGCCACTGAGTGTTCCACTCTACCTATCTTCACAGCTATGTCATCAGTTGAGTAGCTTGGATGGACATTAGTGATATGAAGTGTTGGAGACTAAGCTGAGCTCAAGTTTTCCAGTATTTCTTAGGAGGCTTTGGCTCCATAGGACTGCTAAACATCACCTGAGCTCTGCAGCATATTTGGAGCCAGGGGAGAGCAACTTGCCATGCAAAAGGGAAGGAGCAGGTTAAGAAGGGGATGGAGCACACCATGACCTGGATCCCTCCACCAGAACATTGCCCACCTCCTTCCAATCCAGCTGTGATGAGAAAGCTCTGCAGGGTTACCCAGCCCCAGAGAAGGCTGAAGAGATAGTGGTGAACCCCCCCAAACCACTCTGCAGTGTCTCCTTACAGGGAAGGATGTTCTTGTAGCGATTCTTGGCCTTGTTCTCTGGTCGCTGTCCCTCCTTCCTGGGGTACAGGAGTTTGCACTCCTGCTGCTGCAGCATCTGTGGGAGCAGGACAAAAGAACAGACTGTGCTGGGCAGCCAAAGGGAGGAAGAGGCAAAGGAAAGGCTCTTCCCACTTGCTGTTTGGCTTCCTAATGCAGAGAAGAGCAGAGGGAGTGCTGGCAGGAAGGGAAACAGAGCCAAGAAGCAGCTTGAGGAGAGAGTTAATGGGGGGAGAAAGCACAAATCCCTGCAGGGAACAACAGGCATTAGTTCTGGGATGAGAACAGAGAAAAAGCTTTGGACATGAGGGAAAACAACTCAAAAAAGGAACAGGAATTAACTCAGTTAAACTCAGAAAACAAGGAAAGGAGAAACAGCATTAAGACCTCAGTGCTGGAACACCATGATGCTCCCATTCAAATAGGATATTCCTCACCCATAGGCACATGTGGCACAGAGCATTCCATACCTCAAACTCTTCCCAGAATCCTTGTTTGGCCTTCTCACTGTGATCTGCCATTTTGTTCAGCTCCTTCACTCTGTTCTCAATGTTGGCTGCGTTGATGCGTGTGGCATTGAAGGGCTGCAAGGTGGAGATGAAACAGAAATCACTTCCAATAACAGGAAAAAAACACATTTCCTGAAGCTCTGTGGGTACTGGCAAGAGTTGAGATCATCCCTGAGGCTGTGAGTGCTGGATCAGGGACCTCTGGCAAGCATGAACCTGCTCAAGCAGGATGAAGAGCCAGTGGGACATTCTGGGAGCCCCAAAGAGCAGGAACAGATCTGTTCACTCCCCACAGGAGCTTGGGCAAGCCCAGAACCCACCAGTATGTGCTAGAGCAGGTATTACCTGCTTCAGGTGAACCACAGCTCCAGATTTCTCCACCATGGGGTTCTTCTTGTAGTGCTCCACCAAGTCTGTGAGGGTGTCAAACCTCTCTCCTCCCCCCACATCATACTTCCCATCCAGCTGCAGGAGAGAACAAATGCATGGTGAGACTTGAATTCCCAGTTCCCAGCAGGAGCAGTGTGAGCATGGACAGGCTGTTTCCCACCTGGTAGTGGATCATCACGTGGGTCACATGAGGCTTTCGGTCCCCAGTTTCCATCTTGTCCTCATTAGTCAGCACAGACAGGACAAAGTCTCCTGGTTTGCTCTGGCTCTCCCTCACCAGGAAGCTCCCTGGCTTCCCCTTCTCTGTCAGCAGCTTCTCTGCCTCCTTGCCAGTGAGGTGCCCATGGTACCACCTGAGGAGCAGCAATGCAGGGCAAGGTCACCTCAGAAATGAGCACATCATTGCCTTTAGACAAGGGTTATCTCACTGCTGGGCATGGTGTCCATGGGAAACCCACTTCCAGGCTCCCAGTCTGACTCCTTGACCCACTGGCATGATACCAACTGGAGTTATTTTGGGAACAGTCCCCAGTGACTCTCCTCCAGCAGTTTGCAATGTCACATAGATCCCTTTGCCTGAGGCTGGAGGTGTCAGGACTTGGCTCAGTCCTTCAGCCAAAATGTGACATGGCATCAGTGTGTGAAAGTGCCACGTGAGGTGTGACAAGGGCTGTCATCGAGGGACAGGGCTCTGACCAAGCTCAAAGAAACACAGTTCTGGCAGTGATTTCTTGCAGGTGGCTTTGCATTTTCCTTTAGTTTTTAATATGGAGGAAAAAGAACTCTTGGATTCAGCTTCAGACAGCATCAAACACAACCATGGGGCTCAAAGCCAGGTTGGACAGGGCTTGGAGCTAATGGAAGGTGTCCCTGCCCATGGCAGGGGTTGGAACAAGATGATCTTTAAGGTCTCTTCCAACTCAAACCATTCTGGAGTTCTGTAGACAACACAAGACACTTTGACCCAGTGTGGGAAGGGTTTTCTGAGGGCTCTTCTGGTTGTAGCCACTCCTGCCACTCTCCCAGGCCACTAACCTGGCTCAGGTTTGGCTGAGGGAGCACAGAAGTGTCCTGCACCCTCACCTGGAGTGGCAAAATTGGGCTCTCCACTGTGCCAGGAGGTTTCTCCCCCCCCCAGGTCCTGCCTGGAGCCACATCTCCAACCAGCGGTGATTACAACGTGCAGAGGTTTGGCCTCAGCTCTTCCCCAACCTCACTGTGTGGCCGTGACTTGCTCCACCTCTCTGTCTGGGTACATCTTGCCCCTGTTTCTCCATCTAACCTCTCATAATCCTTTCTCTTGCTCTGCTGCCACACTCACATTGCAGTCCCAGGGAATGAGGCTACCTGGGAACAGCTCAGCAGCTTTGCCATGGCACCTCATAGAATCATCAAGGTTGGAGGAGACCTCAAAGATCATTGAGGCCAACCATGACTGGCTGGACCCCGAGCACAGGGTTAAGCACATGATAATCTGATAATTCTTGGGGATGTCTCCTCCAGCTCCATGCTCTGACCAGCAGCTCCCTTACCCTTGGCCACTCATCAGTGAGGCAGCACATCTCACCTCCCCACACAGCAGGTATCGGGGCAGGGACACCTCCAGCCCTTGGCCATAGCCTCCCAGAGGTACAAACAACAACTCCTTCCATCCTCACACTCAGCAGTGGCTCTGGACAGATGCCACAGGTCCCTTGGAAGCCTCTGGCTCCTGGCCTGCCAGCCAAGCTGCCAGGAATCTGGAGAGGCTCAAAATAACCTCCCAGGAGCCATGCAATGGCATCACGTCACGTCTCAGCAACGTTGTCTCCGAGGATGAGGTTTGTAGAGGAACAGGCAGTGATGTTGGGCCTTTGGATCCCAACCCTGCATGCTGCAAGGGAAGCCAGTCCAAACCTAGCTGGGAATTCCCTTTAGGGAGCAAAACTCCTTCTTGTAGGCTTGGGAAGGCATCAGGATCATGGGCTGTGTGAGGGCAGAATGTCCCACCTCAGAGCCTGCTCACAGCACTGCTATTCACCCCTGCAGAACTGCTACCCTGACACATCCTGCTCTAACTTGACACCATCATCTTCTCATGTATTTAGAGGATTTGAACTCTTCCCTCCCTTGATGCCACCAGCTGTGAGGTCTGGAGAAGCTTTTATGGCCCTTCCCTGCCAAGCCAGTCTGTCCTTGGCAGGAGAAGAGGGGAGGAATCTCAGCTGGAGGGGGTTCCCACTTTTCCAGAGTTTTTCCTCATGTGAACATCTTCAGGCTGCTCCTCACAGCATGAAAGAGAAACCTCCCTGGAAACAAGGCAGCACATGAGCTGGAGGGACTTCCCAGCACCTCAGCTCACATGATGGTGTGGAGGGGAGTGCTCTGCTCCATTTTGGGAACTGAAACAAGTCACAGCTTCACCCTGCCCTGACTGCTAAAGTTAGAGCAGTGAGGAGACTCTGTCGGCATCAGCAGCACCTGACCTGGTCTTCCCCTTCCTGACCCTCTGAGTAGGAAACTGAGGGGGTGGAAGAGGAAAAAAAAGGGTCATTAATCAGGTGGAAAGAGCATGAAGTGGCCTGAGGTGAGTCAACGAGCTCCAGCCCTGCCAGGATGAACAGGGTTACAGGCTGAGGTGGGCTAGAGGACACTTTCTACAGGGCAGACAAGGCACTTAGGGGTGTTTGGTTTCTTTTAGAAATGAAGATGAGGACTCCTAGGATACACCTGCAGGGCTCTCTTCACACTGCTCCTGTTGGATAGGGCTCTGAGCAAGCTGAAGTTGCCCCTGCCCATGGCAGGAGGTTGGACTAGATGGGCTTTAAAGGTCCCTTCCAAGCCAAACTAGCTCACAATTCTATGCTTTTATGCTCCTAGTAGCCTAAAAGCTAGAGAAAGCTTAGCTGACATCAAGCAAGGACCAGGCTCTGAGCCTTGCCCAGGTCACCTATCTCCTCACAGAATCAGTTAGGCTGGAAAAGACCTCTGAGATCACTGAATCTAACCTTTGACCAAGCACCACCTTGGCAACTAGCCCAGAGCACTAAAGTGCCAGTCAGAGCTGCATACAGAGCAGCCAGAGAACTACAGCTCAGAGAGATGCAACTTTTGGGTCATGCAAGCTAAATCACCCCCAAACACACACTGTTCCAGGCTCCTTTCCAAACTCAGGTCATGTGGAGCATTCCAGGTTGAGCCACTTGTGAAGACAGCACCACCACCACAGGGCAGGGCTGCTGGAGGGCATGGCTTACCTCTCTGAGGTGGGGTCCTGGCAGTTGAGAGGGTACTTGAGCTCGATGACATTGCTGTTCTTCTCCCTCAGCAGCCCCTGCTGCTCGGTGTAGTACTGGACCAGCTCTGCCAAGGTGGCAAACTTCTCACCTCCATATAGGTCATAGTAGTCCCCTGTGTTCTGGATCTTGATGTGGGTCACCTCATCGTTCCTTCTGAGGAGGAAAGGAAGGCAAACAAGACCATCAGCATGAGAGATGGAAACCCAGCTCCAACCTTCAGGGTCCAGCTGCCTCCTCAACACCAAATTCTGAGCTGCACAAGCTTTCTGGCAGTCAGATACCACCATGCCACCCTAGGGAAAGGGATGGATGCTCCTTGGACAAGGTTACTCAGCCAAGAGTTGACTCTGTACCTCACAAGTTCACAAGAGGAGGAGGGGGAAAAGGGAAGGAGGAGGAAGGGGGGAATGGGAATGAGGAGGAGGGGAAAAGGGAAGGAGGTGTGGGGGAAAAGGGAAAGGAGAAGGGGAAAAGGAGGAGGAAGGGAGGAATGGGAATGAGGAGGAGGGGAAAAGGGAAGGAGGTGTGGGGGAAAAGGGAAAGGAGAAGGGGAAGGGAAAAGAAGAGGGGGAGAAAGAGCAGAAGGGGAAAGGAGGGAGGACAAGGAGGAGGCCAGAAGGAAAGAGAAAGCAGCCACAGATGTGGGGGAAAAGGGAAAGGAGAAGGGGAAGGGAAAAGAAGAGGGGGAGAAAGAGCAGAAGGGGAAAGGAGGGAGGACAAGGAGGAGGCCAGAAGGAAAGAGAAAGCAGCCACAGAGGAGTGGAAAGGAGGGAGGACAAGGAGGAGGACAGAAGGAAAGAGAAAGCAGCCACAGAGCTTCATGGAAACCTTTCCATAACTTGTGCACTATTATTTCCTTGCCTCTCCTCAGGGACATGGATCTGGACACAAACCAGCACGTGGTCACTTGCTGTGTGGTCTGGTCAGCCCAAACTTCATCTCCTGCTTTCTTCTCAGCCCACATCCTCTCCATAATGAAAAGGAGCTGCATTTCCCTTCTGTGGCTTTCCAAAGCCCTTGAGGAAGCTGAAGGGAGGGTTAAAAGAAGGAGGAAAGGGTTTTCATTGTTTTCCTAAAGGTACTTTCTCCTACTGACACCTCTATTTTAGGCCCTTTTTCAGGGATATCTCTATTGTTTCCTTTGAAAACCTTTTATTTCTCAGAAAGGAAAAAAGTAGAGAGAGAGACCTGTCCAGTTCAGAGATAAAGCAAGAAAAGAGCTCTGTCAGGATATAATTCTAGGTGAGAATAATAACACATTGTTCCATCTGTGTAACAGGGAAAGGGGGAAAACAGGGGGAAAACACCTACCTAAGCTTTCAGCTCTCACAGCACATAAAGCTACTCATTCTCTACTCTCTCAGCTCTCATTTCCAAGGACATTTATGCACCTTTTTTGGGGTCATCATCAGTGGGAAAAGAGCATATCACTCAGATAAAATGCAGTTTTCCCTGCCCAGGACTATAGGATAAACCTTGGATGAAACAGAGGTGGGATGAGGTAGGAAGGAACAAGGATTTGGAGGTAAAAGCAGCCCAGGAAAGAATTCTTTCCATGCCTTCCTGATGCCTCAAAGCACAACCTACTGCCTTGTGGCTCATGTGTAATGTGCTTTCCTGGCAACATGGGCTGTGTCACAGCTTTGCTTTACTCAGAACTGTGAGAGTTGGTCAGATTTTCCATTGAGCTCTGACCTGTCTGTGGCTTCTGGTGATAGGGTTCAAGACTGTGATATCAAGGCAGTTGCTGTATTGCTCTGCCCTTAACTTGCATCTCATCACTGCAGGGCACTGCTCATGCACTGAGGGCATCAATTGGCTCCATTTATGGCCAAAACAATCTTGTTATTAAACATTTCCTGCACCACTGACGTCTCCCTGTGGTAGGAAGTGGTCCAAACCCCCTCTGAACAGTTTGATGCTCCTTTCCTCCCCACAGAGAGAGCAGAAAGGGGTAAAGAAATGACAGCAATCATGAAGTTGTTCTGGGCCTCCACAGGCAGCTTTGGCTACCATGGGGTTCCATGTGTTATCCCCTCAGGGGAGGCACTGGAGCAGCACAAGGGGAGGACAACAATCCCAACAGCACAATCAGAGAATCAGAGTTGGAGGAGACCTTTAAGAGCATCGAGTCCAACCATTAAGCTGTCAGTGCTGGAACCCCTAAACCAGATCCTCCAGATGCCTCTAAAATGTCTCCAGGGATGGTGACTCCACCACCTCCCTGGGCAATATTCCAGTGCCTGAACACCTTAACAGGGACAAAATCTTTCCTAACATCTCCTGCTCATGACCATTCCCTCTAGTCCTCTCCCTGCAACCATGGTGGGAGAGACATCCCACACCTCTATCCAACCCCATCAGGGAGTTAGAGAGAGCCATGAGGTCACATCTGCGCTT